GAAGTCAGCACTAAGCAAGCTCAAGCTTACGTTTTATGACCTCAAGGGTGGAAAATCATGTGACGCGCAAGCTCAAACACTTTGACGCTGATCAAGGTTGAGGTTGGTGATACAACTATTGAATGTCCCTTTACTGCTGTACCACCAGTATATTTTTATTATTCACACATCCCTTTGACTGTCAAATCAATGGTTGGTTATATTATAGAAAGTGCTCCAATATTGAGATCCATGATTCCCTTCAAGTAAAATATCACAATCAATTGTTTCTACCAATCCAAGCAACAATTGTCCAAAAGCTAATAGTAAAAAATATAATTTATTTATTTATAGAGTAATAGTACTCTAATACCAAAGTATCAATTGATCCCTGTTGAGCAAACTACTTCAACATCTATTTAGAATAAAACACACTAACATTTGATATAACTATTATTTAACCCTTAGAAACCCAGACCCAGTTTTCTTTACATAAAAAAAGTCAGGAGTGATAGAACTGCTCAAGGAGACCCAAATAACATATTGTTGAAAACCCCCCGAAAAACTAAATAATACAAATGTTGGTATATGAAAAATAAAAGCAAATACAGTGAGGGAAAAAAGTTTTTGATCCCCTGCTGGTTTTGTACGTTTGCCCACTGACAAAGACATGATCAGTCTATAATTTTAATGGTAGGTTTATTTGAACAGTGAGAGACAGAATAACAACAACAAAAATCCAGAAAAACGCATGTCAAAAATGTTATAAATTGATTTGCATTTTAATGAGGGAAATAAGTATTTGATCCCCTCTCAATCAGAAAGATTTCTGTCTCCCAGGTGTCTTTTATACAGGTAACGAGCTGAGATTAGGAGCAAACTCTTAAAGGGAGTGCTCCTAATCTCAGCTTGTTACCTGTATAAAAGACACCTGTCCACAGAAGCAATCAATCAATCAGATTCCAAACTCTCCACCATGGCCAAGACCAAAGAGCTCTCCAAGGATGTCAGGGACAAGATTGTAGACCTACACAAGGCTGGAATGGGCTACAAGACCATCGCCAAGCAGCTCGGTGAGAAGGTGACAACAGTTGGTGCGATTATTCACAAATGGAAGAAACACAAAATAACTGTCAATCTCCCTCAGCCTGGGGCTCCATGCAAGATTTCACCTCGTGGAGTTGCAATGATCATGAGAACAGTGAGGAATAAGCCCAGAACTACACGGGAGGATCTTGTCAATGATCTCAAGGCAGCTGGGACCATAATCACCAAGAAAACAATTGGTAACACACTACGCCGTGAAGGACTGAAATCCTGCAGCGCCCGCAAGGTCACCCTGCTCAAGAAAGCACATATACAGGACCGTCTGAAGTTTGCCAATGAACATCTGAATGATTCAGAGGAGAACTAGGTGAAAGTGTTGTGGTCAGATGAGACCAAAATCGAGCTCTTTGGCATCAACTCAACTCGCCGTGTTTGGAGGAGGAGGAATGCTGCCTAAGACCACAAGAACACCATCCCCACCGTCAAACATGGAGGTGGAAACATTATGCTATGTTTTTCTGCTAAGGGGACAGGACAACTTCACCGCATCAAAGGGACGATGGACGGGGCCATGTACCGTCAAATCTTGGGTGAGAACCTCCTTCCCTCAGCCAGGGCATTGAAAATGGGTCGTGGATGGGTATTCCAGCATGACAATGACCCAAAACACACGGCCAAGGCAACAAAGGAGTGGCTCAAGAAGAAGCACATTAAAGTCCTGGAGTGGCCTAGCCAGTCTCCAGACCTTAATCCCATAGAAAATCTGTGGAGGGAGCTGAAGGTTCGAGTTGCCAAACGTCAGCCTCGAAACCTTAATGACTTGGAGAAGATCTGCAAAGAGGAGTGGAACAAAATCCCTCCTGAGATGTGTGCAAACCTGGTGGCCAACTACAAGAAACGTCTGACCTCTGTGATTGCCAACAAGGGTTTTGCCACCAAGTACTAAGTAATGTTTTGCAGAGGGGTCAAATACTTATTTCCCTCATTAAAATGCAAATCAATTTATAACATTTTTGACATGCGTTTTTCTGGATTTTGTTGTTGTTATTCTGTCTCTCACTGTTCAAATAAACCTACCATTAAAATTATAGACTGATCATGTCTTTGTCAGTGGGCAAACGTAAAAAATCAGCAGGGGATCAAATACTTTTTTCCCTCATTGTATGTGGTTTACATCACTTAATGCCCCATGATACATATACAGTACATAAAAAAAATGTGTGACTATACTTAGCCAAAAATTAATAATAACTTTCTCTGGACAGCTTATCAGTATTTTGTATACATAGAATTTCAGAAACTCACGTTTTTGACAACATACGCGACCATTCGTTGGAGGAGAATTTACATTGTTTTTTTGGGGGACATTTTCTTTTGCGCCAATCTCTGATAGAGTAATTAAAATGATTGGCAACCAGATGGTGCCAAAAGTGTTTATTGGGATCTCTTCTTGAAGATAGTGGTTTCCTTTTATGTATTGATCGTGTACAGACACTTTACCAGGTGTTTAAAGACAATGTTACATATACGTAACATTTGGCTTTAAATGGTTAATTCTTCTGGAAATGTACCCAAGTATAGGGCTGTGGCGGTCATAACATTTTGTCTCACGGTAATTGACCGATAATTAACATAAACACATTTAGCATCTCCAGGTCTCCATGCACATTTTTCATACAAGCCACTGATGTGTGGCTTTGGAACATCTACATTTAAAAGTCTAATAAATCAATGTAATATACACCATCACAATAAATCCATTATTTATATTAGGCAGGTCTAAAGAAACATTATGATATGTAGTAACGCAGCTTGCACTGCGATGCAGTGCCTTAGACCGCTGCGCCACTCGGGAGACCCTATTTCATTAAACTGTCGACAGCGCCTCTCTCTGCGCGCTCGAGAAAGGAATGAAGGAGAGAGGGGAGGAGATGGAAACGCACGGTGGTGAGATATTCTGTAGCTAAAGGTAATGTGTCAGCCTATTTTGAAAAAAAAAAAAAAAGCCCTATTACTAGGTTTTTCAAAATCAAATAGAAATTCACTATAATTGTAGGCTAACTCTGTAAGCCGCCCTGCACAATCAATGAACCAACAGCATTGCCTAGGCCTATACATTCTCTCCCAGACTCATGGATAGAAAGTTTGGAGCGTAGCATAGGATAACCAACCAGTCCATCCAGCACTCTTAATAATACAGTCCACACTCAAAGGCGATTACTAGAATTTGTTTAATTTGAGTACAGGCTAGACCAAATATGCACCAAAGACCTCTTAAATCAGTTTTTCTGCCATGCGTAATATGCAGTAGGCTATGTATTATATAATGGCAAAATTATTTTAATTCAGGGTTTTTTTTCAGGGTGGGCTCATATATAGGCCTATGCTATGCATAAGCTCTAATATGTATATGGATGTTTTGAATTAATCATCACCTTAGAAAGCACTGTCCATTTCGTTGTTAGGCTTTGAAACAACATCCACAAGGACTGTTTTCAACTCAGTTTCAACCTGTTGTTGAACGTCTTTCTTCAAATTGATCAATCACAGTTCATGGCTTGATCAGATGAATAGAATTAAAGGACCTTGGACAAAAAGGCATACCATTCGAGACAACATCCATTTTAATCGTACCCTGCCCATCCATGGTACAAACCACAACTACGTTTAAAAAGTCCCAAACATTTTATTTTCTTAGCGTCATTTCACCTTCATATGTTCATACTAAAATCAACAATTCTTTACCATTATAATGTAGTCTTTTCAATATAGAAGTATCAATAAGCATGATTAAAAGATCACAATGGCTTTGTTATGTCTGTGTTAAAGAATTTCCCATATCCTATTATATTAAAATATTTCATATATTGTGTCTGTATTTAAACAGAGGTTTAATAATAAAAAGTAAGTTCCCATACAAGGCAATTATAGTATTTAATCAGGTCGGGAATCTCATAAGTTAAACTAAAAAAAAGTATTTTAAAAAGCGACATCTTCAGAGTTGTTTTGAATGTCCATGAGGAGAGAAAGAGAGGGGGGAAAGGGTGGGTGAGTGAGAGAGTCTTTGAAGGACAGACCAGACCCAAGAGATGAGACGGCGTTCCATTGCTTAGGGGCAATTCCAATTCCACGGTAACAGTCATTGTGCATAGAGTTGTATGGTTTGTTTAACTTTGCAATCACTGGTTTTTGTTTAAAATACATTTTAAAGTGAAAAATGTGAGTCTCAGTGTCACTCTGTTACCGTGGAACTGCCCTTAGTCAACAACATTCAAAGCAGGAAATTATAACGAGCTCTGTTCACCTACGTCTACATTTTACTTTACATTAAGCCTAGAGATTTGTTCAACACAATAATAACAACCAAAATAAAAGCACACTTCTGTCCTGTACCAATAATCGGTAGATTATTATCATCATCGTAGCTGAGATACTGTGTTCTTATGCATAAGGTGACATCCAATAATAACAGTCCTCGAGGGTAGGCGATACTCCTCCAACATGGCCTTTAGCATGATGCATATATTACTTTATTAACAAATACAACTGTGCTTTTTGAACAAAAAGACTTCACATCAATAGCCAGAACTGAATCTGAAAAGATGTCTCTCTTAGAAAGCATCTTTTCAATCATTGACGTACATAATATCGTGTCATGGATTCCCTGGTCTCAACAAGATGTTCCAGCTGGAAAAAGAGCCAAATCAGCAGCAAAATCTGAATTCGCCTAGCTGCCTCTGTCCAAGTCCTGCTTACCACACAAAGTTTGATCTGTTTGAGAGAAAGTATGCAGATGGGGGGGGGGGGGCAATCTTTCGGAAAGGCAATGATAGACACACAAAAATAGTGCGCCACAACTGAAGGTGCTGTGAGGCAGCCGTTCCTGACAGGTTCAATCCTCCCACCGTTCGTTCACACACTGATGCACATCCTGTCAGTGTTCCCAGGGCTGACTCCATAAGCTGCGTTTACTTGGAGACTTGCTGTTGGACGTGGAGTAAAAACTCATAGTAAGACAAGGCTGACTCTGTCCGATCCTCAATCATGTTCTGCATAAAGCTGGCTTTCAGTGGGCTCTCATCCCTGGAAAGGAACAGAAAAGGAAGGTTGGATCCACAAAATTTACACATCGTCTACTGCGGAATTGAACTCTGAGTCGTTTGACAGGTCAGCAAAACTCTGTAGGCTGTCAACACGTTGTCAATGAGTTCAACCTGATCTTAATACTTCTCATTTTATTTTGGGCTTCAAACTTAACCAAATGGCCCCCTATTCCCTATACAGTGCACTACTTTTGACCAGAGTTCTACAGGCCCTGTAGTGAACTATAAAGGGAATAGGGTGCCATTTGGAATGCAGACATAGCCTCTGAACTCCCCCAGTGACTTCATCTAGTAGAGCCACAACAGTGTTACTACTGCCTACCTGATGACATGCAGGATGGGGAAGAAGGGCCTCTGTTCCCTCAGCCAGCCAACAAACGCTCTGGTTCTCTGGGACTCTGCAGTGTCCAACTCTGGGAGAATGTTCTGGGAGATACAACACATAATTATATCTTCATGGTCTCCCTTTCAGGAAATCAGTTTTAAACAGCACAGCATTATACTGCAATATAAATACATAGTACAATGTAAGTCATAAACAAAAGATACAACCAACACGTGAATTAAGTGGTATATGGCCAATATACCAAGTCTAAAGGCTGTTCTTAAGCACGACAATGCAGAGTTCCTGGATACAGCCGTTAGCTGTGGTATACTGGCCATATACCACAAACCCGAGGCGCCTTACTGCTATTATAAAAAACTGGTTACCAATGTAATTAGAACAGTAAATTGTACTTTTTTGTCATACCCATGGTATACTGTCTGATATACCACAGCTTTCAGCCAATCGGCATTCAGGGCTCGAACCACCCGGTTTATTATACAGTATAATACACAGAGGTCCTGGTAAGCGATACAGAACCTTGTCAGGAGCAGGGGAGATGGGCTAAGAGAGACCGTTAAAGGGGGAGCAGGTACTTAGGTTCCTTACCATGTTCTGAGGCACAGCAGCGTAGTTTGGGACCCCGAGGACTTGCGTGAGGAAGTTGGGGTTGCAGTTTCTTCCGATCCAGAGATAGATCACCTGTTGGAGAACATTGTGTTCATGTTATCCATCTGTCTGTTTGTTGAGAAGAATCCACTGTAGATGTTGTAGTAAGTCTATCTATTTTGTATGCCAAATGACAGAAAAATGATTCCTCAATAATCATCATCATGCAAATTAGCGCAAGCTAAAGCATGATGGTGCAATGCATCTTACGGTTGATGATTCAATGTGTCAATGCTTTCATTGTAGTTGTCCCTAACAAATAAATACACTACATTACCAAAAGTATGTGGACACCTGCTCATCCAACATTTCATTCTAAAATCATAGGCATTAATATGGAGTTAATCCTCCCTTTGCTGCTACAACAGCCTCCACTCTTCTGGGAATGCTTTCCACTAGAGGTCAGGGCTCTGTGCAGGCCAGTCAAGTTCATCCACACCGATCTCAACAAACTTTCTGTATGGACCTCGCTTTGTGCACAGGGGCATTGTCATGCTGAAACAGGAAAGGGCCTTCCCAAAACTGTTGCCACAAAGTTGGAAGCACAGAATAATCTAGAATGTAATTGTATGCTGTAGCGTTAAGATTTCCCTTCACTGGAACTAATGGGCCTAGCCCGAACCATGAAAAACAGCCCCACCAAACTTTACAGTTGGCACTATGCATTGGGACAGGTAGCGTTCTCCTGGCATCTGCCAAACCCAGATTCGTCCGTCGGACTGCCAGATGGTGAAGCGTGATTCATCACTCAAGAGAACGCGTTTCCACTGCTCCAGAGTCCAATGGCGGCGAGCTTTACACCACTCCAGCCAACACTTGGCATTGCGTATGGTGATCTTAGGCTTGTGTGCGGCTACTCGGCCATGGAAACCCATTTCATGAAGCTCCCGACGAACAGTTCTTGTGCTGACATTGCTTCCAGAGGCAGTTTGGAACTCGATAGACCATTTTTACGCGCTACATGCTTCCGCACTCAGCGGTCCCGTTCTGTGAGCTTGTGTGGCCTACCACTTCGCGGCTGAGCCGTTGTTGCTCCTAGACGTTTCCACTTCACAATAACAGCACTTACAGTTGACCAGGGCAGCTCTAGCAGGGCAGAAATGTTACGAACTGACTTGTTGGAAAGGTGGCATCCTATGACTGTGCCACGTTGAAAGTCACTGAGCTCTTCAGTAAGGCCATTCTACTGTCAATGTTTGTCTATGGAGATTGCATGGCTGTGTGCTCGATTTTATACACCTGTCAGCAATGGGTGTGGCTGAAATAGCCGAATCCACTAATTTGCAGCGGTGTCCACATACTGCTGTATATATAGTGTACATCATCATCATCATGGTCATGCTACTAACCGAGCCAGCATCCATGAGGAAGGCCCCCTCTCTGCTCAGCTTCTCCACAGACAGCTGCTGGACTCTGGGCTGGGGGATGGCACGCTCACTGATGTTCAGGGCTCCCTGTGGAGGGGGTGGAAGGAGAGGAGGAGGAAAAGAGGGGAGAGAAGCTAGGTTAATAAAACAGGAAAAATGCAATATATCCACAAGTCAGATGGAAGCAGAACCATAGACCTAAATATCGGTGTTCTATCTTTTTTTATAAATGATCTGAGTGTATAAGAGGTGATAAACTATAAGAGTGTACAGAAAAAAATTGCTCTTCTTTTATTATCATTATCTATGCTCTGGTGTGAACAGTGTTTCCCCTCGCCCTCACCTCGTCAGTCAGGTCGTCCACACGGTACAGCGCTGGGTGGATCATCAGCATGACGTATGCCAGAGGCTGGTACTTCAGCTGACACATAGCAAACACACGGTCGTCCAGCCTGGTGCTTGTTCCCGTTCTGAAGGCTTTCTGTGGACCACAGGGAATAAAAACAACATATGAGCAAAGCAGCACAAAGGGTGCCAAGGGTTCTGTTCCAAGACTTATGCCATGCCGAGTTGTATTATAACTACAGTTGAAATCCCAATGGGAAGTAGGTTTCATCCCACATGGCACCCTGTTCCCTATATTGTACACTACTTTTGACCAGAGCCCAATGGGCCCTGGTCAAAAGTAGTGCACTAAACAGGGAACAGGGTGACATTTGGGATGAAGCTGTCGATTTCCAGGGGACTAGCCAGGGAAAGAGTGGGTGGGTAGTGTACCTGTTTGAGCAGGGCCAGGATGTAAAGAGGGAACAGCCTGAGGCAGGCGGGGGCCAGGAGGCCAGGCTGCTGGATGGTGAGCACAGAGGTGCGGTAGGACGTCAGAGAGTCGATGGAAGCGTTGGTCATCGCGTCTCGGGCGTCACTCAAACTGGCCGTCACCGAGCGATCCACAGCTAGAGGGAGAGGACACACATCAGGAACAGGACATTGAATTCAAAACTCTCAGCTACATTTTTACCTCAGGGATCGGGATTCACAAGTTACATGATTGTACATTACATGTTTGCAGTCATGGCATTCATTACAAAAAGCAACCATTGGGTTCAATCATTTCTGCTAAATGGCATATTATTATTTCTTGTTGCTTTATATCAGGGTAAACCAGCAATAACAGTACCTCATATTACAGTAAATTCTCTTTAGAAAAACAATATTTGGATAGTCCATCTGTAGATGCTCTACAGGACTATCTACTAACCCTGAACTTAGCCCTTACCCTAACCCTTATTCTAAACCTAACTCTAACCTTAGCAAGCAGTTGCTTATCTGTAGAGTTTCTACAGATGGACTTTCCAGACTATCCAAATAAAGTGTGACCGAATAACATTTAGAAGAATTACATTTCATCAGTGACTGAATAGAACGAATAAAACCTCTAATACATTATATGAAGATTAGTCTTCAGTCAGTTTGATTTAGCCACTTGGATTCAACAAAGGTCACGGTAATCAGGCAACCATCTGACATCACCCATGACCATCTGTCCTTGCAAATGAGGCAGCTATGGCACTGTGTGAATGACAAGCCTGTTCTCACTATGAGACATTAAAGATCACAGGATGATGGGACCTGGTACGTAATGGAAATAAACATGCATTTAATAACTACACCAAGACTGCATCCCAGGAACTACCTACCCATGCTAGCCAGCAGACCAGTGATAGCCTGGACATCAGCCCCAGCAAAGATGTCGGACAGGGAGTTGACAACAGGCAAACACATGGTGTGGACTCGAATTCTTCTCTCTCCTGTAGAAACAACACCAAGCAACAAGTTATTATTTCAGCGTTACAATTGGTATGCATCGGAAATATAATATTTGTCCAGAAAGGCAACAAATAAAATTAAACTAAAATTGCCCTTCAGAAAGAAATAACATTTTCAAATTTCAGTATCCATTATAAAAAGTGTTCCATCGCACTCGTTCATGGTTCATGTTTACAAACAGTGAGGCTGAGTCCCAAATGGCATCCTATTCTCTATATAGTACACTTTTCTTGACAAGAGCCTTTTGAGTCCTGGTAAAAAGTAGTACACTATGTATGGAATAGGGTGCTATTTGGGACACAGCCAGTGAGTCTAAACCAAGTAAATCCCACAGAAAAAGAATGACAATAGCTGTGTTCGAATACTCATACTAACATACTGTATACAACATACTTAATGAACATATACACTACATACTATTAGTTCATTTTTATTTACTGTAAACAAACGGTATCCTTTCAGTTGAGTGTGCTAGCGCTTTGCCCGTCTACCGGAAGTTGATGCTGTTGCTATGCAACTTCTTGCTAGCTTGTTAGCATTTCAAATACTAGCTAGACATCTTACGACTTCATTAACAATGTCCATTGAGAACGCACAACAACTATACCACAGCTAAGCATGACATTAATAATCAAGTCAATAAACGTTGAGTAGTTAGTTAGATAGCATATAGTTAATATACTAGCAAGTTCGATGTATTAGTAGCCAACTAACGTTAGGTAGCTAGCTAACATACCGGTACATACAAGCAACTGCTGTAATGATATGATATGTGGTTCATAAGGCTAGATTAGCTAACAAATTGTCAGCCAACATAACTTATCTGAAAAGTAATTACTTTATTACATTGCTCAACATCTGTCATAATTAGTTAAATCATGAATTTGTATCGGCTCTCGTCGGACTTCGGCTGCATATTTTCCACAATTATCTTCCAATCTGAAAATGTTGTGAAGCTACGCCCATTTTCTGAAGAATTGCATTATGGGCCCTAAAAGCACGGAAATAGTGTCCACTTCTTGTATACTTCGTATTTTGGTGAATATAGTACGACATCAGGGAACTTTTGGCATACTAACTATATCCATACTATGACCTATAAGCATACTACATACTCAATGTACGTCACAAATAGTACGGTTAGTATGAGTATTCAAACACAGCTCATCTTTTTATGGTAAAGCTCCCTACACCATCTCAGAGCCCCCCATCACAGGAGCTCCAGACAGTGTACCTTTGCTGGATGTGTAGAGCAGCGCAGCCTGGAAGGAGACGGACTGCATGTCCACCAGGTTCTCCTCAATGGACATCTGCACAGCGAAGCCCGCGTCTGGGTTCACGTTGGGCAGGGACAGCAGATCCGTGGAGCGCACAAAGAAATTCCCATGGAACGTGTGGATGGACAAACCTGCATGGAAGTTGAGGGGTCAGAGTTGAACATTTTCTTTTCACAATAATCAACATACAAAATAGATATAGAAGTAGGTCAGAGAGATTTGAGTTAAATACATTTAATCTGACAGTTTTTCCACGTGAAATAACATAATACAAGGCAATCTTCATAGTGAAAAAGTATTGAGTGATGACTTGTTACCTTTAGTGCAGCGGATCCTCATTACGGCCTCCAAGCCAATCTTCCTGGTAAGGTACCTCTTGAGATCCTTCTGGAAGCACTCAACCCCGGCTGGGTTGTGCTGCTGCTGGTAGGAGGGGTAATAGTACACACTTCCTGCTGAGTACCTGGATATGCAAGCTGACGGGAGGAGAGACAGAAGATGAAGCAGAGATTACACATTAATCGTATAGTACGATGTTCTATACGAAGGGCCTTATCATTTGTGGCATTTGAATAAATGTACATTGAACAAAAATAAAAACGCAACAACAATTTCAAAGATTTTACTGAGTTACACTTCATATAAGAAAATCAGTCAATTGAAATAAATTCATTAGGGCCGTGCATTATCATGCTGAAACACGAAGTGAAGGCGGCGGATGAATGGCAAGACAATGGGCCTCAGGATCTTATCACGGTATCTCTGGGCATTCAAATTGCCATCAATAAAATGCAAATTGCGTTCGTTGTCCGTAGCTTATGCCTGCCCATACCATAACCCCACCGCCACCATGGGGAACTCTGTTCACAACGTTGACATCAGCAAACCGCTTGCCCACACGCCGCCATATGCCCGGTACAGTTGAAGCCGGGATTCATCCGTGAAGAGCACACTTCTCTAGCGTGCCAGTGGCCATCGAAGGTGAGCATTTGCCCACTGAAGTCGGTTACAACGCCAAACTGCAGTCAGGTAAAGACCCTGGTGAGGACGACAAGCATGCAGATGAGTTTCCCTGAGACAGTTTCTGCAGAAATTATTCGGTTGTGCAAACCCCCAGTTTCATCAGCTGTCTGGGTGGCCGGTCTCAGATGATCCCACAGGTGAAGAAGCCGGATGTGGAGGTCCTGGACTGGCGTGGTTACACGTGGTCTGCGGTTGTGAGGCTGGTTGGACGTACTGCCAAATTCTCCAAAACGACATTGTTGGTGGCTTATGGTAGAGAAATTTACATGCGATTCTCTGGCAACAGCTCTGGTGGACATTCATGCCAATTGCACGCTCCCTCGAAACTTGAGACATCTGTGGCATTGTGTTGTGTGACAAAACTACACATTTTAGAGTGGCCTTTTATTGTCCCCAGCACAAGGTGCACCTGTGTAATGATCATGCTGTTTAATCGGCTTCTTGATATACCACACCTGTCAGGTGGATGGATTATCTTGGCAAAGGAGAAATGCTCACTAACAGGGATGTAAACAAATCTGTGCACAAAATTTGAGAGATATAAGCTTTTTGTGCATATGGAACATTTCTGGGACCTTTTATTTCAGGTCATGAAACATGGGTCCAACACTTTAAATATTGCATTTATATTTTTGTTCAGACGTATACAGCAACATCAGAGACACACATACAGAGCACTGCTGGCTGCTGAAATAAGGTAACTTTGTTAATAATAACACATTGAAGTTCAGATGTATGAGTCAGAAGGCACCGCTCACCTAAAGAGGCCAGGTCACAGTACTGGGTGCTCAGTAGGAACAGGTCTACAGCCACCTGCTGTCCTGAACAGTCCAGGGCCAGCTTCTTATAGAAGTCTGTGGCAGGAGACAGGTTCTGGATGTCCTGGGGAATCACCACACAACACAATGAGCACCACAGAACATTTCTAAAAAAGAATGAGTATATTATGCATAAAAAATTTCTGAACTGTATTGAGATAAAGATATCAAGTTTCAACCGCCACTGCAGAACAAATGTGCACACTGCATACAGTGGGGGAAAAAGGTATTTAGTCAGCCACCAATTGTGCAAGTTCTCCCACTTAAAAATATGAGAGAGGCCTGTAATTTTCATCATAGGTACACGTCAACTATGACAGACAAAATGAGAAAAAAAAATCCAGAAAATCACATTGTAGGATTTTTTATGAATTTATTTGCAAATTATGGTGGAAATTAAGTATTTGGTCAATAACAAAAGTTTCTCAATACTTTGTTATATACCCTTTGTTGGCAATGACACAGGTCAAACGTTTTCTGTAAGTCTTCACAAGGTTTTCACACACTGTTGCTGGTATTTTGGCCCATTCCTCCATGCAGATCTCCTCTAGAGCAGTGATGTTTTGGGGCTGTCGCTGGGCAACACGGACTTTCAACTCCCTCCAAAGATTTTCTATGGGGTTGAGATCTGGAGACTGGCTAGGCCACTCCAGGACCTTGAAATGCTTCTTACGAAGCCACTCCTTTGTTGCCCAGGCGGTGTGTTTGGGATTATTGTCATGCTGAAAGACCCAGCCACGTTTCATCTTCAATGCCCTTGCTGATGGAAGGAGGTTTTCACTCAAAATCTCACGATACATGGCCCCGTTCATTCTTTCCTTTACACGGATCAGTCGTCCTGGTCCCTTTGCAGAAAAACAGCCCCAAAGCATGATGTTTCCACCCCCATGCTTCACAGTAGGTATGGTGTTCTTTAGATGCAACTCAGCATTCTTTGTCCTCCAAACACGACAAGTTGAGTTTTTACCAAAAAGTTCTATTTTGGTTTCATCTGACCATATGACATTCTCCCAATCCTCTTCTGGATCATCCAAATGCACTCTAGCAAACTTCAGACGGGCCTGGACATGTACTGGCTTAAGCAGGGGGACACGTCTGGCACTGCAGGATTTGAGTCCATGGCGGCGTAGTGTGTTACTGATGGTAGGCTTTGTTAAATTGGTCCCAGCTCTCTGCAGGTCATTCACTAGGTCCCCCCGTGTGGTTCTGGGATTCTTGCTCACCGTTCTTGTGATCATTTTGACCCCACGGGGTGAGATCTTGCGTGGAGCCCCAGATCGAGGGAGATTATCAGTGGTCTTGTATGTCTTCCATTTCCTAATAATTGCTCCCACAGTTGATTTCTTCAAACCAAGCTGTTTACCTATTGCAGATTCAGTCTTCCCAGCCTGGTGCAGGTCTACAATTTTGTTTCTGGTGTCCTTTGACAGCTCTTTGGTCTTGGCCATAGTGGAGTTTGGAGTGTGACTGTTTGAGGTTGTGGACAGGTGTCTTTTATACTGATAACAAGTTCAAACAGGTGCCATTAATATAGGTAACGAGTGGAGGACAGAGGAGCCTCTTAAAGAAGAAGTTACAGGTCTGTGAGAGCCAGAAATCTTGCTTGTTTCTAGGTGACCAAATACTTATTTTCCACCATAATTTGCAAATAAATTCATTAAAAATCCTACAATGTGATTTTCTGGAGAAAGAAATTCTCAATTTGTCGGTCATAGTTGACGTGTACCTATGATGAAAATTACAGGCCTCTCATCTTTTTAAGTGGGAGAACTTGCACAATTGGTGGCTGACTAAATACTTTTTTCCCCCACTGTAATTCTCTTTACCAAGTAATTAAAATAGAAATGTACAGCAAATGGCACCCTATTTCCTACATATGGGATCTATGGGCCCTACAAAGTAGTCCACTATATAGGTAGTAGGGTGCCATTTGGGATACAAAATGTATAAACCAATGTGACCCAGGCTCTCGCTAGTCCCTACCTTGGCTGAAGCTCTCTGGTTGGGGTCCTCTCTGGACTTGAGGGCCCCCACGCCCAGGTTGGGCAGCTGTGTCTGGAAGACGGACACGCGCCCCCCGGTGGCCGACAGCAGCTTGAAGGCTGCCTGCAGGGCCGGGCCCAGAGCAGACTGGGTCTCCATGGTCTTGCCAAACATCTGGGGCAGGCTCTTCAGCAGATCCTGCACCAGCTGTAAAAAAAAAAAAAAAAAAATCTATAAAGTTTTGTAATGCAAAACAGAGCGTAAGAGAGGTTCAGGCAAAAAAAATTACCCAATGTGAATGTGTCTTTTGATGGATTTTCGCAATGTTGTTGTGAGTAGTTTGACAGATTGGACTCGTAACATTTTCTTTTGAAATGTTGTATTGAGAGTGCCTGTCTCTGGAGAATATTAGGGAATATGCTCAGGAATAGTTTTAAGAGCTCCTTACCTCCTTGCATTCATTGAGGTTCACTAAAAGGCTGTCTGGTGTTGGTAAAAATATATCTGGAAGAAAGGAATAAACAGCATAGAAGACCATTAGACCATTTCAACCTGTTGAATACTTTAAAAGTACAGCATTACAGCACCATTTATTTTGTAGCCCTATTTCTACGGTGTTTTCTATGTCGTCACAACTTAAGACACTGATGATTGGGCGAAGCATTTGTCACAAAATAATGAATACATTTTCCTTTCTTTCACTGCAAATACTGAGTGTGGACCTTCCTCATTTTCCTAAGCATTTCTAGACAGTGAATTACTCTAATGACAAAGCTTGTAAGCCCATGCTCCTCTCTCACCTTCAATGTCAGAGACAATGAGCATCTGTGGTTGGGCCAGGCCCTCCTGGAGGTTGTAGAAGTGGATGGTGCTGTCAAAGGTGATGAAGCCAATCTTTGTCCTGGAGTCTCCAGGGGAAATCACGGACATGAGTTGTTCAGATACTCACAGGACACACTGATGTGTCAATACTCACAGGACACTAAAGCTGATGTTTCAATACTCACAGACACACTGATGTGTTCAGATATCACAGGACACATGATGTGTTCAGATCTAGGACACACTGATGTGTTCAGATACTCACAGGACACATGATTGTTCAGATACTCACAGGACACACTGATGTGTTCAGATACTCACAGGACCACTGATGTTTCAGATACTCACAGGACACACTGATTGTTCAGATACTCACAGGACACACTGATTTTCAGATACTCACAGGACACACTGATGTGTTCAGATACTCACATGACACACTGATGTGTTCAGATACTCACAGGACACACTGATGTGTCAGATACTCACAGGACACCGATGTGTTCAGATACTCACAGGACACACTATGTTTCAGATACTCACAGACACACTGTGTGGTCAGATACTCACAGGACCACTGATGTGTTCAGATACTCACAGACACCTGATGTGTTCAGATACTCACAGGACACACTGATGGTTCAGATACTCACAGGACACACTATGTGTTCAGATACTCACAGGACACTGATGTGTCAGATACTCACAGGACACCTGATGGTCAGTCTCAGATACTCACAGGACACACTGATTGTGTGTGGTTCAGATACTCACAGGACACACTGATGGTTGGTGGTTCAGATACTCACAGGACACACTGATGTGTTCAGATACTCACAGGACACACTGAGTGTTGTGCGTTCAGATACTCACAGGACACACTGAGTGTGTGGTGGGGTTCAGATACTCACAGGACACACTGATGTGTGGTGCGGTTCAGATACTCACAGGACACACTGATGTGTGTGTGCGTAGATACTCACAGGACACACTGATGGTGTGGTGCGGTTCAGATACTCACAGGACACACTGATTGTGTGGTGGGTCAGATACTCACAGGACACACTGATGTGTTGTCGTTCAGATACTCACAGGACACACTGATGTGTGGTGCGGTTCAGATACTCACAGGACACACTGATGTGTGGTGGGGTTCAGATACTCACAGGACACACTGATGTGTGTGGGCGGTCAGATACTCACAGGACACACTGATTGTGTGGTGCGGTTCAGATACTCACAGGACACACTGATGTGTGGGCGGTTCAGATACTCACAGGACACACTGATGTGGTGGTGGTTCAGATACTCACAGGACACACTGATGTGTGTGCGTTCAGATACTCACAGGACACACTGATGTGTGGTGCGGTTCAGATACTCACAGGACACACTGATGTGGTGGTGCGGTTCAGATACTCACAGGACACACTGATGGTGTGGTGGTCAGATACTCACAGGACACACTGAGTGTGGGGTGGGTTCAGATACTCACAGGACACACTGATGTGTGGTGGGTTCAGATACTCACAGGACACACTGATGTGTGGGTGCGGTTCAGATACTCACAGGACACACTGATGTGTGTGGGTTCAGATACTCACAGGACACACTGATGTGTGTGGTGCGGTTCAGATACTCACAGGACACACTGATGTGTGTGGTGCGGTTCAGATACTCACAGGACACACTGATGTGTGTGGTGGGGTTCAGATACTCACAGGACACACTGATGTGTGTGGTGCGGTTCAGATACTCACAGGACACACTGATGTGTGTGGTGCGGTTCAGATACTCACAGGACACACTGATGTGTGTGGTGCGGTTCAGATACTCACAGGACACACTGATGTGTGTGGTGCGGTTCAGATACTCACAGGACACACTGATGTGTGTGGTGCGGTTCAGATACTCACAGGACACACTGATGTGTGTGGTGCGGTTCAGATACTCACAGGACACACTGATGTGTGTGGTGCGGTTCAGATACTCACAGGACACACTGATGTGTGTGGTGCGGTTCAGATACTCACAGGACACACTGATGTGTGTGGTGCGGTTCAGATACTCACAGGACACACTGATGTGTGTGGTGCGGGTTCAGATACTCACAGGACACACTGATGTGTGTGTGCGGTCAATACTCACAGGACACACTGATGTGTGTGGTTCAGATACTCACAGGACACACTGATGTGTGTGGTGCGTTCAGATACTCACAGGACACACTGATGTGTGTGTGGGTTCAGATACTCACAGGACACACTGATGGTGTGGTGCGGTTCAGATACTCACAGGACACACTGATGTGTGGGTGCGGTTCAGATACTCACAGGACACACTGATGTGTGTTGCGGTTCAGATACTCACAGGACACACTGATGTGTGTGTGCGGTTCATACTCACAGGACACACTGATGTGTGGTGCGTTCAGATACTCACAGGACACACTGATGTGTGTGGTGGGTTCAGATACTCACAGGACACACTGATGTGTGTGTGCGTTCAGATACTCACAGGACACACTGATGTGTTGGCAGGTCAGATACTCACAGGACACACTGATGTGTTGGTGGGTTCAGATACTCACAGGACACACTGATGTGGTGTGTTCAGATACTCACAGGACACACTGATGTGTTCAGATACTCACAGGACACACTGATGTGTTCAGATACTCACAGGACACACTGATGTGTTCAGATACTCACAGGACACACTGATGTGTTCAGATACTCACAGGACACACTGATGTGTTCAGATACTCACAGGACACACTGATGTGTTCAGATACTCACAGGACACACTGATGTGTTCAGATACTCACAGGACACACTGATGTGTCAGATACTCACAGGACACACTGATGTGTTCAGATACTCACAGGACACACTGATGTGTTCAGATACTCACAGGACACACTGATGTGTTCAGATACTCACAGGACACACTGATGTGTTCAGATACTCACAGGACACACTGATGTGTTCAGATACTCACAGGGACACACTGATGTGTTCAGATACTCACAGGACACACTGATGTGTTCAGATACTCACAGGACACACTGATGTGTTCAGATACTCACAGGACACCACTGATGTGTTCAGATACTCACAGGACACACTGATGTGTTCAGATACTCACAGGACACACTGATGTGTTCAGATACTCACAGGACACACTGATGTGTTCAGATACTCACAGGACACACTGATGTGTTCAGATACTCACAGGACACACTGATGTGTTCAGATACTCACAGGACACACTGATGTGTTCAGATACTCACAGGACACACTGATGTGTTCAGATACTCACAGGACACACTGATGTGTTCAGATACTCACAGGACACACTGATGTGTTCAGATACTCACAGGACACACTGATGTGTTCAGTACTCACAGGACCACTGATGTTTCAGATACTCACAGGACACACTGATGGTGTGGTGGGTTCAGATACTCACAGGACACACTGATGTGTGTGGTGGGGTTCAGATACTCACAGGACACACTGATGGGGTTCAGATACTCACAGGACACACTGATGTGTGTGGTGCGGTTCAGATACTCACAGGACACACTGATGTGTGTGGTGGGTTCAGATACTCACAGGACACACTGATGTGTGTGGTGCGGTTCAGATACTCACAGGACACACTGATGTGTGTGGTGCGGTTCAGATACTCACAGGACACACTGATGTGTGTGGTGCGGTTCAGATACTCACAGGACACACTGATGTGTGTGGTGGGGTTCAGATACTCACAGGACACACTGATGTGTGTGGTGCGGTTCAGATACTCACAGGACACACTGATGTGTGTGGTGCGGTTCAGATACTCACAGGACACACTGATGTGTGTGGTGGGGTTCAGATACTCACAGGACACACTGATGTGTGTGGTGCGGTTCAGATACTCACAGGACACACTGATGTGTGTGGTGCGGTTCAGATACTCACAGGACACACTGATGTGTGTGGTGCGGTTCAGATACTCACAGGACACACTGATGTGTGTGGTGCGGTTCAGATACTCACAGGACACACTGATGTGTGTGGTGCGGTTCAGATACTCACAGGACACACTGATGTGTGTGGTGCGGTTCAGATACTCACAGGACACACTGATGTGTGTGGTGCGGTTCAGATACTCACAGGACACACTGATGTGTGTGGTGGGGTTCAGATACTCACAGGACACACTGATGTGTGTGGTGGGGTTCAGATACTCACAGGACACACTGATGTGTGTGGTGCGGTTCAGATACTCACAGGACACACTGATGTGTGTGGTGCGGTTCAGATACTCACAGGACACACTGATGTGTGTGGTGCGGTTCAGATACTCACAGGACACACTGATGTGTGTGGTGCGGTTCAGATACTCACAGGACACACTGATGTGTGTGGTGGGGTTCAGATACTCACAGGACACACTGATGTGTGTGGTGGGGTTCAGATACTCACAGGACACACTGATGTGTGAGGTGCGGTTCAGATACTCACAGGACACACTGATGTGTGTGGTGCGGTTCAGATACTCACAGGACACACTGATGTGTGTGGTGCGGTTCAGATACTCACAGGACACACTGATGTGTGTGGTGCGGTTCAGATACTCACAGGACACACTGATGTGTGTGGTGCGGTTCAGATACTCACAGGACACACTGATGTGTGTGGTGCGGTTCAGATACTCACAGGACACACTGATGTGTGTGGTGCGGTTCAGATACTCACAGGACACACTGATGTGTGTGGTGCGGTTCATATACTCACAGGACACACTGATGTGTGTGGTGCGGTTCAGATACTCACAGGACACACTGATGTGTGTGGTGCGGTTCATATACTCACAGGACACACTGATGTGTGTGGTGCGGTTCAGATACTCACAGGACACACTGATGTGTGTGGTGCGGTTCAGATACTCACAGGACACACTGATGTGTGTGGTGGGGTTCAGATACTCACAGGACACACTGATGTGTGTGGTGCGGTTCAGATACTCACAGGACACACTGATGTGTGTGGTGCGGTTCATATACTCACAGGACACACTGATGTGTGTGGTGCGGTTCAGATACTCACAGGACACACTGATGTGTGTGGTGCGGTTCATATACTCACAGGACACACTGATGTGTGTGGTGCGGTTCAGATACTCACAGGACACACTGATGTGTGTGGTGGGGTTCAGATACTCACAGGACACACTGATGTGTGTGGTGCGGTTCAGATACTCACAGGACACACTGATGTGTGTGGTGCGGTTCAGATACTCACAGGACACACTGATGTGTGTGGTGGGGTTCAGATACTCACAGGACACACTGATGTGTGTGGTGCGGTTCAGATACTCACAGGACACACTGATGTGTGTGGTGCGGTTCAGATACTCACAGGACACACTGATGTGTGTGGTGCGGTTCAGATACTCACAGGACACACTGATGTGTGTGGTGCGGTTCAGATACTCACAGGACACACTGATGTGTGTGGTGCGGTTCAGATACTCACAGGACACACTGATGTGTGTGGTGGGGTTCAGATACTCACAGGACACACTGATGTGTGTGGTGCGGTTCAGATACTCACAGGACACACTGATGTGTGTGGTGCGGTTCAGATACTCACAGGACACACTGATGTGTGTGGTGCGGTTCAGATACTCACAGGACACACTGATGTGTGTGGTGCGGTTCAGATACTCACAGGACACACTGATGTGTGTGGTGCGGTTCAGATACTCACAGGACACACTGATGTGTGTGGTGGGGTTCAGATACTCACAGGACACACTGATGTGTGTGGTGCGGTTCAGATACTCACAGGACACACTGATGTGTGTGGTGGGGTTCATATACTCACAGGACACACTGATGTGTGAGGTGCGGTTCAGATACTCACAGGACACACTGATGTGTGAGGTGCGGTTCAGATACTCACAGGACGACACACTGATGTGTGAGGTGCGGTTCAGATACTCACAGGACGACACACTGATGTGTGTGGTGGGGTTCATATACTCACAGGACACACTGATGTGTGTGGTGCGGTTCAGTTAAAATCTACATTGTTTTTCTCTCTCTCAATACTTCTGTAAGTAATTGTATTTCTGTGTCTGAATCACTGTTGACATGTTATTAATATTATTGGCTACATTTTGTATATTGTCCAATGAAAAACCAATAAATAAACATAGTTTTAGGGCTATCTGAGGTTAAACTGAAGCCTTTAAGCTAGCTAGTATTGATCAGTATAGAAAATGTTATTACATAGCTTAATAGGACAATACAGATAGAGACAATAAGTAATGAACCATCCTGTCAGGGCTGTGGACATTATCCCAGGACTGTATTTCATCTGCATCCCAATGGCTTCCATAGGGTTCTGGTCAAAAGTAGTGCACTATATAGGGAATAGGATGCCATTTAGGATGCACCCTCGGTCTGTAACTGATGTATACATACGCATTGATGTTCTCCAGCAGTGACTGACAGACGACATCTAGGTATCCAGTTTCCACGGCGTTGTGGGATACATCCAGCACGAAGAGGTAAACGGCAGGCTGGGGGGGTCTCAGCTGAGGATGACAGGTTTCACACCATCAATACAAAGACTAACACAAACACTGATACACACCACACACTATCACATTCTAACAAAACGTGCAAATGCTTCCTAGATGAACAACTCCAGGAAAACAAATCCATGGAGTCAAAGCCTGATGGAATCACTGTGAACACGGCAGCAGTGGAAGACTGCACATTTCATCTGTATTTAGCTAGCAGATAAAAGGGGGGGAAATGTAGCCATTTAACATATATTTCCAGGCAAAATAACATGCAATGAGTTGCTTTAAATAGACAATAACTCTTAAGACTATATAATGTGTATTTACCATGTATTCTGAGGGTGCGATGAACTCGATGGTGGCGTTCTGGACCTCAGGTCTTTTGTGTGGCTCTCCGTACGATCTGCTAACTGGGTTGTACATGAACTCCTCTGGAACTGCACAACAAACATGGAGGTTATCATCAGTCAGAAAAGAACAGTACTGGGCTTGTCCGTCACTACAGTCATCAGGTGAGTGATATTCTGGACGTTTAGGTCAAAGCTATGTGCTGGAAAACCTTGGTAGTGAATTCCTTTTCCAGCCTAACTTCTCACTTAAAACAAGTGTTTGTTTTTAATGAACATTGGAGCTGGTCAAAAGTAGTGCAATATATGGGGAATAGACAGGGTGTCATTTAAGATGAGCTTGGTGGCTGTGGTCCTTACCGTCATTGACCCGGTAGCACAGGTTACACTTCCATCTCCTCTGGTCCAGGAAGGTCACAAAGGGGTTGATATACGTCCTGCAGGAACGACACCTCACTATAGTGCTGGAGGTGACCACAGGCAGTTGCTGCAGTGTACAGACAAACCAAACAATTAAAAAAGGGCAATCTGGGATTGGTACATCATTTAAAAAATATAAAAAATGTAACCATTGATTCTTGAAGAATAAAACTTCATACAGCTAGTTGCTGCAGTTCACAGACAAATCAAACCATTAAGACAGGACATGTTAGGCTATGACAATCGTCAATGCCAAGTTCCACACAAATGAGAAACATCAAATTACAAAGGAACATTAAATTAAGCAGATTAAATACACATTTATTCTAGGCTATACAGTGAGGGAAAAAAGTATTTGATCCCCTGCTGATTTTGTAAGTTTTCCCACTGACAAAGAAATGATCAGTCGATAATTTTAATGGTAGGTTTATTTGAACAGTGAGAGACAGAATAACAACAACAAAATCCAGAAAAACGCATGTCAAAAATGTTAGAAATTGATTTGCATTTTAATGAGGGAAATAAGTATTTGACCCCCTCTCAATCAGAAAGATTTCTGGCTCTCAGGTGTCTTTTATACAGGTAACGAGCTGAGATTAGGAGCACACTCTTAAAGGGAGTGCTCCTAATCTCAGTTTGTTACATGTATAAAAGACACCTGTCCACAGAAGCAATCAATCAATCAGATTCCAAACTCTCCACCATGGCCAAGACCAAAGAGCTCTCCAAGGATGTCAGGGACAAGATTGTAGACCTACACAAGGCTGGAATGGGCTACAAGACCATCGCCAAGCAGCTTGGTGAGAAGGTGACAACAGTTGGTGCGATTATTCACAAATGGAAGAAACACAAAAGAACTGTCAATCTCCCTCGGCCTGGGGCTCCATGCAAGAACACCTCGTGGAGTTGCAATGATCATGACAACGGTGAGGAATCAGCGGGAGGATCTTGTCAATGATCTCAAGGCAGCTGGGACTATAGTCACCAAGAAAACAATTGGTAACACACTACGCCGTGAAGGACTGAAATCCTGCAGCGCCCGCAAGGTCCCCCTGCTCAAGAAAGCACATATACAGGCCCGTCTGAAGTTTGCCAATGAACATCTGAATGATTCAGAGGAGAACTGGGTGAAAGTGTTGTGGTCAGATGAGACCAAAATCGAGCTCTTTGGCATTAACTCAACTCGCCGTGTTTGGAGGAGGAGGAATGCTGCCTATGACCCCAAGAACACCATCCCCACCGTCAAACATGGAGGTGGAAACATTATGCTTTGGGGGTGTTTTTCTGCTAAGGGGACAGGACAACTTCACCGCATCAAAGGGACGATGGACGGGGCCATGTACCGTCAAATCTTGGGTGAGAACCTCCTTCCCTCAGCCAGGGCATTGAAAATGGGTCGTGGATGGGTATTCCAGCATGACAATGACCCAAAACACACGGCCAAGGCAACAAAGGAGTGGCTCAAGAAGAAGCACATTAAGGTCCTGGAGTGGCCTAGCCAGTCTCCAGACCTTAATCCCATAGAAAATCTGTGGAGGGAGCTGAAGGTTCGAGTTGCCAAAGGTCAGCCTCGAAACCTTAATGACTTGGAGAAGATCTGCAAAGAGGAATGGGACAAAATACCTCCTGAGATATGTGCAAACCTGGTGGCCAACTACAAGAAATGACTGACCTCTGATTGCCAACAAGGGTTTTGCCACCAAGTACTAAGTCATGTTTTGCAGAGGGGTCAAATACTTATTTCCCTCATTAAAATGCAAATCAATGTATAACATTTTTGACATGCGTTTTTTTGGATTTTTGTTGTTGTTATTCTGTCTCTCACTGTTCAAATAAACCTACCATTAAAATGATAGACTGATAATGTCTTTGTCAGTTGGCAAACGTACAAAATCAGCAGGGGATCAAATACTTTTTTCCCCTCACTGTATGTATTCTTCTATCTTTTATCAGAAGTGGGATTGGTACTAGGAAGAGTCTACTGAGGGTTAGGAGTGTTTTGCATGTTGGGAGATAGTGGGCAATGTCATACCGAGAGATCTTTGAAGGGGTGGAGCAGCAAGCCGAGTGGAAGCTTGGCTTTATTTAACAGAGACTGGGTCTGGGGGATGCTAGTCAGGGTACTCCGGAAGACCCTGTAGTGAGAGGAGGCGAGAGAAACACAACAGGTCTAAACCAGTACATTTTATAGTTAAAGTACATGAACACTTTTTACAATATTCAACATTGTGGAGGGGGTTGATGTTGAAAAACACTGCCAGAAAAACTACCACTCACTCTGGGTGGCAGTTGATTTTCTGCAGGTCCTTGGGCAGGCAGGGCGTAGGAGGGGTGAAGGGGCCCGGGGGGAGCAGGTTCCTCTCCTGCAGCAGGTTGACCACCCTCAGGGCCTCAGGGGTCTGGGACTGCAGACTCAACCCAGCTAGGGAGGGGCTCAGCTGGGATGGACCTGCAGAGGGCTGGGGAGGAAACATAGGACAGTACAGTGGTGAGTACAATGAACGAAGGTCAAAAGCAGTGCACTATAAGGAATAGGGTGCCATTTGGGACGCATCCCTGTTAAGTTTCAATATTTATAAACAGTCTATACATGTCCTATTTCAACATTCAGAGTTCATTTTAAAATGTCTGTAAGGGTTCACGTGATCAGACAAGAGCTAAGCTCTAAATGTATATAATAGAGAAGATTCAGCGATGTACTGTTAGATTTGGTTTGGTTTGAGAAAGCAGAGAGCACAGTCTTGTGTCTTACCTGCTGGTATGACTGAGGCGCATGGCTGTAAGGCTGCGTCGGGGCATGCATGGGATGGTGCATGGGGGAGGCGGAGGTGTTCTGGTACCCTGGGGGTAGAGAGGGGTAGGACAGACCCATGTGTCGAGCAGGGGGGCCTGGCTGCTGGGGCGGGAGTGGGCCAGCTATAGGGACAAGCACCAAAACAGGCCTCATGTCAGTTCTGAGTGTTGCTAGCAGTACCATATAGGGGACTAAAATGTCACATTAGTCATTCATTAAATGTCACATTAGTCATTCATTAAATGTCACATTAGTCATTCATTTCTGATGAAACTATGGTGTAGTAGCAGCCTTACCCATTTTAGGGCCTGTCTCCAAGTGATCAAAGCGGTTGGGAACTTGAGCGCCATTACCAGGTGTGGGTATGTGTCCTGCTACAGTGCAAAGATTCCATAGTCGGTCAGTTCAGGATGGATAAAAACAACAACAACAAAAACATTCCGCTACTTTTGTGAAAGCACTTGAAAAAGGCGCCATCTGTCGGTTTAGTTTATGGAAAATAACTTAGGAATTAGCATACATGTTTTTGTTTGATGTTTCAGGTCAGTTGTGGTTCTACTTTGTTTTATTGCCACAAGGTAGAGAAAATGTAGGAATTGCATCTTCAATGCACATAATTCACAGTCACTATGAAAGACAGTAAGACACAATGTGATGAAAAATGTGATACCCATGAGGTCACTAAAATGTAATAATGGCAAAAACTAAGACAACTTAGAAAGTGTCAAACGTAAACACTGAATATCTGAAAGATCCATGGAAGTTCCGTAGGCCTTTTCGTCCTTTGAGAAACCATACTAATAATCTAACAGAGGACATGACAGATCAAATATGATCTCATCAAAACTACACAGGGACCACACAACACTGATAGTGACTAAACCACACCTGGACACTCAATATCATTCTCCTGGTTGTCGCACTCAGTGTGGGCATCATCATCACTAGCATCACTCCCACACTGAGCTGGCATGGTAGGAGGAAAGAGATGGCAGTGAGACCCAAAGGGTGGCTGTTGGAGATACTCTGGGATACCCCCCCCCCAAAAAAAACATCCATTTACAACAAATAAACCACAATAAATATCTGTGGATGCTTCAAAGACCAAGGTAAACAACAACATATTGTTAGATGAGAGGATCAAAACAAATGTCTCTGAGTAGGAGTGCTGATCTAGGATCAGGTTACCCTCTTATTCATTATGATTTAAAATACAAAACTGAACTTGGATCAGCACTCTTGCGCTGAGATGTTGTATAAATATGGTCCCAGAAGTGATATTTCCTTACCATCAGTCTCGGGGCCAAAGGGAAGGGGAGGGGTAGCATTGCCCATGGGAGGTGGATTGGGTCTCATAGAGGGTGGGGGTCCTGCAGGTGGGTGGCCGTAAGGTGCTGCCATACCTGGCTGGTATGTGTGAGGAGCCATGGGGTTCTTTGGAGGAGGGTCAGAGCCTGGACAACCACAACAACAGTTCAACATCACATCATTCAGGATCTTTAGCCACACATATTAAATGTATTATACAGTATCCTATCACAACCCTCTACAACACAAACCTTGTCCAAAATGTCAACATGACAATTGTATATTTACAGAAGTGGCTCCTACACAGTCTTCTGCTGCTAGCCCATACATCACACTGTACAAAGGCTTGGTCGAGGCTAACCTAAGACATTGTATTTTATTGTATTTTAATATTTAAGGAAGCTTGGAAGATTAGTCCAAATGAGGACTAAAAGAGATCCTAATAAAATAAAATCAAGACAATAAAACTGGCACCTATAGGCTACATCATGATGAATCCTGATGCATATCATGACAATGTATCCTATGGCTGCATTTACACAGGCAGCCCAATTCTGATTTTCTTTTCACTAATTAGTCTTTTGACCAATCAGATCAGCTCTGAAAAAGATCTGATATGATTGGTCAAAAAACCAATTAGTCTTGAAAAATGGAGTATACCGTTTATGGTATGGGGACTATCATGCATAAGAGGAAAATAGGCCCCTCTGAGGAGAGTAACATTATATCCCTACACTGGAGGTGACGAGTCCCACAACAGCTGATGCTGCAGACCCAGAGTTAGCTAATGTCAATGAACCCCAGTGACTAGAGACTACACTGACTGTGGCATTTCAGACAAGAGTGAACTATTCTTCCAACAGCAAAGATCTGTCATTCAGATATTGTGAGTATGAATAAATATTCAGTCATCATCAAATCATGGCAACAAATCAATTTGAATGAAATTGTCAACTGGCCAGATTGGAGTGAATCATATTAAAAACCAGGCATCAAGGAGTAATCTTTGATTACTGATCATGTGGTATTTCTTACACCACATTATTGTGGCATAATGCCCTTGATCATCATTCATGAATCACTGATGGCTTCTGACCAAATATAAGCGGTGGAAAACATAATCCTAAATATAAACCATAAATTTAGTGAATACCATTGGCGTTTAATATGAGGGGTTTTTTGACAGACATATTTTTCTATGTCAATATGTCTTGTTGTTTGTTTGCTGTCAAACTGGAGGCAGTTGTGAAAAAAGTCAATATTTGGAAAAGCTGCAGAGTTAATTGAAAATAATGCCACTGTTTATTAGATGCTATTTTCATTCATTAGGCTATTTTCTCTTGAACCATATGGTCTATCTACTAGAAACTCATCGACAATATGGACACCGATAATTAAAAAAATGAATACTATATATATGAATAGATTTTTTTTAAACGTTATTCCAATATAAATGACCAAAATGACTGAAGCCCACGCACCCACATGCTGCTGCTCCGTTCTTACACTCATCTCTCCAGATGTCTAGTCACTTTACCCTGCCTTCATGTTCATATCTACCTCAAATACCTCAGACCTCTGCACATTGATCTGGTACTCCCTGTATATAGCTCCATTCTTGTGTATTTTATTCCTTGTGTTAGTACTTGTATTTTGTATTATTTATTTGTTTAACTGCATCGTTGGGAAAGGTTCGTAATCAAGCATTTCATGGTAAAGTCTACACCTGTGGTATTCAGCGCATGCAGCAATAAAATCGGTTTTTTATTTGATATTGGTGGTGGATATGTATATCACCAGAGGTTACTGGTACTCTCCTTTGGTCCCTGGACAACTATTCAAGAGTGTCTGCCAAGGAGATATGTGCAGCCAATTGGATCGGTGTGTGTGTGGGAGCGGCAGCAGGGGGCAATGTCCACTTCCAACATCAGCTTGCTAGAACACTTCTGGCGCTTCCCTGTGACATCATAGTGACCTAGCATTTCACGGTTGTTAATCCCGATATGGAGTGTCACTACACAGTCAAACCACCAGTCAATGTCATAACATCATAATGTCTAAGTGTTTTTCATCATAGAAAGTCAAACTGCTGTAGCATATGTAACAGTGTGTTAATCATGGAGCCGTTGGACTGCTCCCTTCTGCACTGTGTTTTACCTTCGTGGGTGTATCTGTGGAGGGAGGTGGGAGGCAGGGAAGGCCCCGGGGATTGCATGGCGTTGTTGAAGACAGGAGAAGGCGCTGCGCTGTACCCCGCCGAGGTGGCCTGGGGTGGTGCCGGGCTAGGCGAGGAGGTCACGTGATTACCCACAAACGCGAGGGGAGGCGTGGCCATAGGAGGCGGCGCCCCAATTGGTGGAGGAGCTCCCATCGGTGGAAGGGCCCCATACTGCCAGGCTGGGGGGTGCTGGTAGTAGCTGTTAGCAGACACAGGTGGAGGGGTGGCATGCGCTGGGGGCATCCTGGGGCCTGGGCAAGGGCTGGTGGACTGGGGAGGTCCCATAGGAGGCCTGTTTAACATGGGCTGACCTGGAGGGGCCTGGTAAGAGCTGACTGGTGGGATGGGCTGGTAGGGCCCAGAGTTATAGAGTCCAGTGCCAGGCGGCATGGGGCCCTTGGCTTGCATTGGGTTGTATGGAGGCTGGTGGGACATGTTGTAACCCGGTCCTGGTGGCTGCAGCACTGCTGGATTCTGTAAGGGACCTGGAAGACAGGTTCATGACGACAGAGATTAGATTCCAGACCAGAGTTTGACATAAATTACAGCACCTCACTGACATCCCATGTGAATGTCCCATGACTATAGTAATAGCTGACTGCCTCATTTGCCTTCCAGTTAATAAAAAAAAGATGAGAAAATCTCATTTTTAAAACAATGTTTCATTACTAGAACTAGAACTGCCTGGCAGTATTGATTGACTAGGCCTACAACAGTTTTTGGCTCTGAAGAAGGATTTGGGCTAGATAACTTTGAGAGCAGCAGAAATATTAGGCTAAATGCAGTCGGGCTGGGAATTGCCAAGGACCTCCCGATACAATATTTTCACGATACTTAGGTTCCGATACGATATGTATTACGATTCTATACTGTGATTTCATTGCGATTCGATACTGTGATTTCATTGCGAGTCGATGTTCCAAACATATTGCTCACCATATGTCTGCTGCAAAGGGACAAGAGAGAGCCATGAGAAAACAAGTTTTGATCAGTCACGGAAATAAAAGTGCTGAAAACAAATTAGCTCGCTATTTAAAAAGATGGTTTGGTGCAGGTACACCCAACTTGTGCAAAATAATATCCCGATATGTAACTAATTTATTCCCCCCCATGTCCAGGAAGTCTTCAGCTACAATACTAGCTAGGATAAACAGGTGGAGATGGTGGGATTAGAAAACAACTCTTCTCAATGGCGAAGATGAACACCCATAATCCCTGTCTTTCCGGGCAGCACCGGTGAAATCTCCAACATTAAGCTGCCGGACGGCCACAGTAGTCGTGTTGAAGGCTTCCCTCCAATCACAGTGAACCTGGCCTGGGCCGAGTACAACTGCTCAGCCAATTACAGAGGCAAGTGTAGGAGTCAAACTCTTACCACTACTGTACAGCAAACAGACCACTGATAAAATATGCTATTGTTTAGATAAGGGCATTGTTTAGGCCTAAAGCAAAGTCTAGGAATTTCCTGGACTCAGCGAAGATATTCTTGATTAACGAGGGTCTATTGTTTTAACAAAGTGGAAAAGTAAATTAACTAGGATGAATTCAGCCAAGATTAAATCCACTTTGGCAAGAATGATCAGAGTTCAAAAACCAATCTTGGAGTAGAGACTGTATTGCCTCTTACACATAGATAAGGAAAAGATGAAGGCCTAGGGAGCTTAATCATAAATCATCAATAGCCAGACCCAACAGCATAAAGAACTTGTCCTGCTGTAGTCAAAACCCTCCCTGGTTATCTATGGACAAAGAGAATGAGTACTACTGGTACTGTACAAATAACACTGAGTTTGACTGCCAGTGTCTAATTCAGTCCAGTTGGATGGTTAACTTTCCCTCCTGAGATTATTGATACGAAACAGCTATCAAACAGTACATAAACATACAAACAATATTTTATAATTACTATGTCATTCAGGGAGAGACAAAAACCCGTCTGTTTATACTACTGAACTTTAAAAAAAAAAAAAAAAATATATCTGGCAACTAAATTGGATCATCCCAAACGTGCCACATGTACACACAGAGGTAGAGCACAAAAAAGTCGCTGTGGTACGTCATTCACTTCTGAGTAGATGTAGCAAAGCATAATACGATTAGAACTATAATTTTACATTTTATGTGACACCAGCCAAGTGATTCGGAAATGGCAACGCAGTACGCAACAGTCACGCGACCCATACCCAAAGAACCTCAACAAATGAGAGGAAAGTTTAGCCCTAAACAAAGGCTAAACCCCTATAAAACAACTAGTGGATGAGTGTATCCGTGGACAGGGTATCAATCAAATCACAAGACTCAAAGGATATAGCTAATAGGATCTTTTTTGTGAATTACTCTGGTTAAATATTTACCCAAATCTTAGTTCCACGTACAATATGAGTCAACTAGCTATAGCTAGCTAGCTAACTACAGTGAGCAAACTAGCTAGCTCAAAAACGGACAACTTGTAGCATCATCGTGACCAAAACAACCATCAGTCTCTCCCCTGAACTTGATCTTCAATTGAGAGTTATTCTGACTACAAATTAATGTGTAGTCATCTTCTAATGTTAGCTAGGCTGTCATTCAAGGTAGCACTAGCAGCTAGCTAACGTTAGCGAAGCTAGCGAATTGTCAGTAAGCTGCAATTTGTGTCAGTCTCTAGTCTATAGCCAAGTTTAGCTAACTAACGTGAGATACCTGACTAAATGTCACCTACTCTAGCTAAGCCAGATCATCCTAGCTAGTTACGTAGTTGGGGAATCAAAGCGATTACTTATGTCCAAATAACTAGCTAATATGAACAATGTTTTTTTTTTAGCTACAGTCTTGATAGGAGTAAGAGACCATTAGCCCCACTAACATTAGCCATAATTTATGTTAGCATTATTAGCAAGCTAATGTAGTTAGCTAGCCATCTCACTAACAAGCCAAATCAGATTCGGATAAAGTAAAAGCCTATATTGTTAGCTAGATAGCTAGCTATCAAACAGTTGTGAGGAGGTAACGTTAGCTGGCTAACATTAGTGCGAAATTGCTCACCATTTGCGTATGGCTGTCCTCCTGGCCCATTCTGAGAGTTGAATCCCGTGTTACTTGACATCTTGAAATAGACACCGACCGTAATCAAATTAAGAAGCTTGGTTGGAGAATAGCTAGTTGCGTCTTACTTGGCTAGCCGGCTAGCTGTTTAGCTAGCAATGGGAGCTGTCTGTTTAACGGAGCGTCTTTACCACAGGCTTTCAGGTAAAAAAAAAAAAAAAAGAAGAAGAAGAAAGTGAATTAGCCGACTTATTAGCTATCACAGACCATGGTTGGGACCGTTCCCCGTCCAACTACGGGTGTAAGCCTTGTCAATATAATCGTGTGATACTCTCCTTTCTCTAATATCTCTGTTGCTTCTCTCTTCTTGCACAGGAAGTTGGGATCACCCACCCAGCACGAACAACGTAATACCTCCTCAAGCATGCGCAGTTGGTACACGTGGCACTTCCTGTGCATAGTGGATTTCTACAGTACTGGAAACAGTGAAACACTCGCAATGTTGTACTGTCTTCGCTTACTCTGATGTTTGAGTAAAAAACGTAGGATCAGTTAAATACATGGTGACAGACTGTATATTACAAATACAATTAGTTTATATAAAACCAGACTAATGGTTCACTTTATAATAAATACGTTTCTCCAGCGTGATTTTATACTGGAGTGGAAGACTGGACTGGAAGTAGAAATATGTTCAGATCAGAAATATAGACATACCAAACTGCCCCTTCATCAAAGAGTTTGTACAATATGGTAGGATGAATATGAGTATTTAAATAAAATGTTTTCTGTGTTAACACATTTAGATTACAGGAGTGCTAGAATTTGGTTCATATTTTTGTTCCCCTATCGGAAAGATGATTGTGAAACAGAAACAGGAAGCGGCTAGACCTGGGCCTGGGGAGTTGTTGGACACCCATTGCATTGCTGTGTCGTGGCTCTGTAACATAACACGAAGGTGGAGAGGAAGACGTGAATTGCGGGCTCTCATTTGACCACAAGGCAGATTTTCATGATTTTAAGAGCAAACATATTTAGTCAATTGATCTACACTTAGATAACGGGTAAGTGTACGCATTAATTATTTCAAATATGGGGTTTGCTACACTAGTGTATTTGAACGTTTGGTAACAAGGCTTGCTAGCTAACGTTAGTTAGTCGGTCAGGAACCCTCAATCAAACTGCTGACGCTAGCTAATGAACCCTTTAAACTTATTTTGACACATAATGTGGTAAACTTAAAGTAGGCCCATTTGTGGGTGCATTTTTATATTGAGACGTTCTCTAGCTGTAACAAACAGCCTTTACCGTCAATAAACCTAGCTAGCGCTTCCTTACGTTTGCAATTAGCTAGCAAACTGCTCCCTCCCACAACTAGCTCGATGCTACTATAGTTAGCTAGCTAGTTCTGAAAATGACACGTATCTATGAATTCAGATGCACTAGTTAGCTAAAGGGCCAACCAATCAGTATGGCAATTTACGTGTGTAGCTATGTCAACGATACTGTAGCTAGATTTTAATGTTAGCTAGCAAACTAGCAAGTTACGGTAAATGTGAACAACAACCAACTCTCGCTGCCAGCTAAAGGTACAATTTGTTACTCACAGCTCTCTATCCGTTTAGCGTTGCTATCAAACGTTAGCTAACCAGCTGGATATAGTCGTCATAACTATATTATTAATCATGGCGATTTTGCATCGTCAATTAAGCTGATGATATGTTACCGACAGTCACCATTTCGAGATCAAATTGTATGTATTTGTAGTCAAAGAAATCAAATTCGATAGGTATCGGAGACGTTAGTTACATTCGCTTTAGTGTGTGTGAGTTGGTGAATTCTTGCATTAGTTGGACACTATTCTACTAGCTAATAGAAATAATTAAATCAGTCAAAAAAAAGTTTATCTCCAGATTCTCCACTATGTGACTGTCCTTTGTCTTCCAATTTCAGCCACTGCTGTTAAATGTTTCAGATTAGTTTGATACGGACTACACTGAATTTAATCCCAGTAATTTGACCTTTCCCCCATTTATAGCAGCTATAGTTTTTTTTTTGTTTTTTGAGCTATCTGCGCTCACCTCATTCTATTAGGGCTAGAAAACTTTGAGCTGAAAATGACTTGATTGATCAGTGTATGTAAATTATAGCTGTCAGAACCTGTAGTTTGTTTCAGTTTAATACAAATCCTCCAATTTGAGAGGCTCTAGCAACATGGTGAGAACACGAGCCAGCTGGGCTGGCAGGTAGATCTGCCTGGGAGCCTGGGGTGTAATCATTAGTCCAAACTCCAAACGGTTGCAAACCGAAAACGTTTTGCAACGAAAATTAGTTTATGTTGGACAAATTCAGGTAGGTCCCTCCCTGTTACTTGTGTTTGGTTCCTAGTGAATACACCCCTGATATCCTACTGGAAGTATATTTTATCTATCATCCTTAAGTAAACTTCCTCTCCTGACCTCACTGCCCTCTGACCTTAATATTTAAATATATTACAATATTTTGCAGAGGTGCATTGCTACTTTCATATATATATATATATATATATATGCTACATGCTACATGCTGTATACAAAATATTATTGTTGGGCTTATATTGAGCAATGACATAAAGGACTGTGATGTTCAGGGGAATTATCAGAATTAAGTAGAACATTATGATACCTAAAGGTGTCCTAAAATTTAAAATCAAATAGCTAAATGATCCATGGTATGACCATCTTAAAACAATTCCATATGTCAGCTTAGAACCCCCCCGATCACGCCACACACTGGAAGCCAGCCAGGGAGAGAGCTCCTGCTGAGTGTAGCCTAGTTCAGCTGTATTTGCATGGTCTTGACCTTTAGATCGCTTATACTTTAGCTGTGGAGCTGTTTGCATGTTGCGTTACGAGAGCCACAGTGTGGCACATTGTGGTGCCACACTAGCCAGGGAGAGAGTTCATTCTGAGTGTTGTGACAAAAGTCTTGGTGTCGTGGAATTGTGGTGGAAAATAGCCACCTCAGCCAGCCAGGCCTCTCTCTTTTTTCTTCTTCAGAGAAAGTATTTTTTCTCCTGCTCAGTCCTCACCGAAGGAAGAATGTATGTAGAGATGTTAGAGCAAGTTCCCTTTGTTACCGGGCCCAGCTCTGCTCCAGAGAACTCATCTGGAAGATGGCTTTCTAATATTGACAACTACTTAGATGTTACATTGCGCCAACCACTTTCTACTGCATGTTATTATCAAGCTATTTTCAATCATTTCATTCACAGTTAAATATCTTTCTGATCTTGTCTGCTAGCTAACAATTTGAACCTCGAACCCCAAAGAGATGGTTATATAGCAAATATGATGACTTTTCCTTTGTATTATTCCAAATTAAAATGTCCCCTCCCATTGTGCTATATGGTCCATTCTATCATCTCTCACAACCCGTTGGCCTGTCTACACTCCAGTCCTGGAGCATGGGACTAGTCCGTGTCAACAGACAACACACTGCTTTTTGGAAATGGAATTACCTTAAATGCCAATACAAGTGACAAACTCTTAAGAAATGTATTAGGCCTAGGTGTTTTGTGTGAGAGTGTATGTCAAAGGAAGTTTACAGAGCCAAGTAATCAGTCAACAGTTTTGTCATGTGCTGTACTTGCACGCCTGTTGTTCATCACCTCTGTTGTTGCTGTCTTACAGGATTCACCAGCTCTGGATATGTCCTTCATATTTGATTGGATTTATAGTGGTTTCAGTAGCGTACTGCAGTTTCTAGGTAAGTACCATGTAAACATCACCTATTCCACTTTCAATACTGTCCTCTGAATGGCTTGTATAGGAAGCTGGATCTCAAGCTACCTGGTACTGAGAACTTTTCTTTTGCTTATTTCCTAATTACCACCTGTTCTAAAGACTGACAACAAGTGTGGTACTGTCTGTCGTTCCTAGAAATCCATGTTGTCCCTCTTGTGGTTGAACATGGAAGCTGGTGATTTGAGTAGTCTAGGACTAGGCCTATGTGTTGTTTTACAACGTGTGCCCACTACCTAGCTACAGTGAAACACACACAAGCTCACAACAGGCTGATGCTACCACTCCCTTTAGCCTCCCTCTCCAGAGCCCTCTCTAGTTTCTGTGACACTAGCTAGCTCTCATCTCCGAGAGGCGTGGTGGCACTCCTGCTTACCTTGTTAAACAGGTACTGCTGATGTTCTCTTGGTGTTGCGTAATGATGACGACGGCTAGGCCTAAGAGCTGACTCAGAAAAGACAGGCATTCATCCAGGGCTCTGGGTATAATGGTTGTGTGTGGTAGTGCAGGTCAGCAGTGTATTTTGAATCTCAGATAAAAAAAAGTATTGTTCACTATAGTTCATGCATATCTGATAGCATGTTTTAACTTGATACTTTCAAGTTTGACTTATTTTGTTGGTGAGAAGATTGATTTCTTAGACTTTCCAAAGATTTGGTTTCATTGTGAATACATTGTTAGGCAAAGGAAAGTCAACAGGTCTTAACAGGGCAAGGTGATAGTCACAGCTTCTTTGTTATCAATGTACAAAAAAAATCTGAAATTTAAATTACATTTTAGGACTGTACAAGAAATCGGGCAAGTTAGTATTTCTTGGACTGGACAATGCTGGCAAGACGACGCTACTGCACATGCTCAAAGATGACAGATTGGGACAGCATGTGCCAACTTTACATCCAAGTGAGTAGATCATTTATAGTCACGTTTGTATAATTTTTCAATCCAGCTTCTGAACAGACCTAATAGTTAGACAATCAAGCTAAGTATGGATCATCCTCTCAATGTACATAAAAGGCTAGCGCTATTTGATGGTTACTCAATTGACTGAGCTTGTTTAGTAGTTTCCCAATGTAACCATGACCCATTTTACCCACCAGCCTCGGAAGAGCTGACGATCGCTGGCATGACCTTCACCACCTTTGACCTTGGAGGCCATGCACAAGGTATGTATGCCCGACTGCCCTTGTGTGAGAGAGAGAATTGATTTGTTAATTTGTGGTTCCCAGCAAAACTGCACTAATTTATCTTATTTTGTGCTTGTGTTCACACAGCTCGCAGAGTGTGGAAAAACTACCTCCCCGCCATCAACGGCATCGTCTTCCTTGTGGATTGCGTAGACTTCCCGAGATTGGCAGAGTCCAAAACAGAACTTGATGTGAGTATCATTGATTTACAACCACATTGGAAAAACCTCATGAATAAGATGGATGGGACTGAAAACTATCACATTTCAACTTAAACCCTGCCAAATATGTTCTATCAAAACAGATGGCCTTTTCATAAGCAGTTCATTTGTTTTGTACTGATTCCTTCGTATATGCTTGATGAAAGAATGGTACCATTCCCAAAGTCTCATGATAGCTCATGAAATCTGCTAAAAGTTAGTCAGTTGATGGGCCTCCTGAGTGACGCAGCGTTCTAAGGCACTGCATCGCAGTGTTAGAGGCGTCACTACAGCCCCGGGTTCCATCCCAGGCTGTGTCACAGCCGGCCGTGACCGGGAGACCCCAGCGTCGTTAGGGGAGGGTTTGTGTTTTCTCCGACACATTGGTGCGGCTGGCTTCCGGGTTAAGCGAGCAGTGTGTCAAGAAGCAGTGCAGCTTGGCAGGGTCGTGTTTCGGAGGAAGCATTGCTCTCTACCTTCGCCTCTCCCGAGTCTGTACGAGAGTTGCAGCGATGGGACAAGACTGTAACTACCAATTGGATATCACGAAATTGGGGAGAAAAAGGGGTAAAAAGTACAAAAAATAAATAAATATTGTCAGTTGCAATGAAGCCATGCCTTGCTCTTTCACGGGTAGATAATGTCTAAGATTATGACATGTTTGGTGTGGAGTAATGTGATAACTAACCAGACATTTCCGTCCTGTGGTCCACACAGGCTCTAATGACCGATGAGACCATTGGAAACGTGCCGATCCTGGTCCTCGGCAACAAGATTGACAGAACAGACGCCATCAGTGAAGAGAAACTGCGTGAGATGTTTGGATTATATGGACAGACAACAGGCAAGGTAAGGAGATCCCTGCACTAACACACATCTCCTGTCTGTCATCTCCTGATACTACTGTGCCACCCACTCTTCTCTCCTCCCAGTAGAACTACTGAACTGTACAACAAATCACAGTGCTACTGTTTTTAGAATTATACAAACCCTCATCCATTCAAGGGTCTTTATGGGCTCATAGGGACAAGACATGGGCTATAACTAGGTCCTGGCCCCACCATTAACCAAAGCAATATCCTGTTGAAAGGCCACCGCTATAACGTAGGTAAGGTTTTTAGAACAGAAGAACAAAAATAAACGGAGCCCCTCAGGTGCTTAGAACAACCATACATTTTAATGATGTGGTTCCCTGACAATGTTTGTCTGGTCTCCAGGGCAACATTCCCATGAAGGAGCTGAACACGAGACCCCTGGAGGTGTTCATGTGCAGCGTGCTGAAGAGGCAGGGCTACGGCGAGGGCTTCCGCTGGCTCTCCCAGTACATTGACTAGAGCCCTGGCACCAGGAGGCGCTACAGGGAGACTTCTACCGCCACCGCCACCATATTCAGTCCTATGTTTGGTTTATAAAGTCTGCCTCCGCCATCAGAAAAAAACAGTACAACTTGAACCCAATAGACTTTTATTGGTCTCCAGAACACTTTTTTGGGGGGTTACACACTTTTTCTCTTCACACTCTTTTCCAAGAGAATTAACATAGCATCGGTTCTGCAGAAGTGTTAAAAAAATCAAACGGATGAATATTTTTTTCGATTTTGTTTCCATCTATTCGCCTCCCCATGACATCTGTTGGTGTGAAAAATGCAGTATATAATTGTAAATCTGTAAATGTATCTAATGGTATAGGGCAGCACATTTTGAGCAGTGAGACAGTAGTTGTACACATCGCAATACACTTTTTTTTAACAGGAAAGGCAACATACAGACATGACTCGTGTTTAATCATGTTTCCTTCATGTCTTTTCTTCATCCTATATTTTTTACATAGTAAGAAGTGTGGCCACCTAGACAGCAGCATTCACCTTAAAGAAAACCCTTCCGTCTCTCTGGCTGTGTCATTGTCATAATAAACCGAGCCCTGCATTGATCTTCATTAATGTATTGGAAATAGTTACATTTCTTAAGAGTTTGTCACTTGTATTGGCATTTAAGGTAATTCCATTTCCAAAAAGCAGTGTGTTGTCTGTTGACACGGACTAGTCCCATGCTCCAGGACTGGAGTGTAGACAGGCCAACGGGTTGTGAGAGATGATAGAATGGACCATATAGCACAATGGGAGGGGACATTTTAATTTGGAAAAGTAATAATATTTGCTATATAACCATCTCTTTGGGGTTTGAGGTTCAAATTGTTAGCTAGCAGACAAGATCAGAAAGATATTTAACTGTGAATGAAATGATTGAAAATAGCTTGATAATAACATGCAGTAGAAAGTGGTTGGCGCAATGTAACATCTAAGTAGTTGTCAATATTAGATAGCCATCTTCCAGATGAGTTCTCTCGAGCAGAGCTGGGCCCGGTTTCCCAAAAGCATCTTAAGGCTAAGTTCACCTTAGAACCATAGGATCCTTTTGGGAAACCGGGCCTGAACGGGATGAATATAGTGACCAAGTTAGATATGAGGAATAGTCCACGAGTGAGAACAGACAGGAAAACCTAGAAGAAAGGGACCGTATGAAATGTACATGACTACCGTACGTGGAATTTTTTTATATGCGGTTTCCTTGATCAATGTGCATTATAAAAACTATTATGCATGCCTTGTTCTTTGATTTGTAATGACCATATACAGAAGTACAAGAGGGAGCAAATGCCAAATTAAAATGTAAGGAATTGAGTGCTTATCTCAAAATCTGTAGTTTTTTAAAGAACCAGAATGAAGTGGTTTTTCTGTTCTGCCCATTTGTCCCTTTATTTCCTCATATTCCATGAGCTGTTCCGATAAGGGAGAGACTTACTGTTTGCATCATAAATTGTAATAAATGTTTGCAATGAATAACCGACTTAAGTGGTACGTAACCAACAGTTATTTTGGCGTGGCTCAGTCGGGTTGACTTTGCTAGAAATTACACAACCGTTTTCTCTCTGCTGTTTACTGCGATAATGGACTCAATATTATCAAGGTATACCAACAGACCAGGAACATGTTTATCTTTCTACTGACGCAATAGATCTGTCCCAAATGGCACCCTATTCCCTATATAGTGCAATACTATTGACCAGAGTCCTGTGGGACCTGTAGTGTACTAAATAGGGAATAAGGTGGTTTAGATCATTTGGTTGTTTACCCTGGGGAACTGTATTGACTGACGAGTATATGGCAATATGATTTGACCTATATTTGCGAGGTGATGTGGACACTACAGTTAGCAGTGCATTGGTATTGTATAGTCATGCCGATGCATTACAACATTAGTCCAGTAGAGGGCATAACTGATAAGGTAGAGAACAGTGATATTCATTTTGTACTAATGGTAGCCTTTAAATTACTTTACAGACAGGTAGTCAGTAAACAATACATTTGATAGGTAAACATTGCTTCTTTAGTGAAGCAATTATCAAATACAGTATCAAACAGTTTAAATACAAATTGTAGTGTTTTTACACCATTTTCTTAAAGACTTGCCTGGTTCAGCTTCTCTCTATGCTACCGTCTCTTGTGAATAGTCCCATTGGCCCTTATTTCAGTCTCTTTAAACATATACAGTTGGCAGTGATTTCCATTTTCTTTTCAAACAAATTAATCAATTGAGTATGTGTCCTTCTCATCCAGCTTACAACGGTCCCCTTTAACAATGTCGACAATGCACACTCCCAATGCTATGAAGGGAGAAAACAGCCAGGAATACCGCCAGGAGCATGTGGCCACACTTCCCACAGCGCCTCTGGCTTTTCTGGGCACCTCCGTCCCCCTCAGTCCTGCCACCTCCACAGTTCCACTCACAGTGGGCACCACCACCATCTCTCACAGGGTTGGCCAGTTTGGGGTCCAGGGGGATGTTTCTGGGGCTGGGAGATGGAGGTCTACCACACCTCTGGCTCTCCTTCAGGGGCACCCTGGTGGTCTTTCCTCTTTTAGCTGGTCTGATGTAGAATCCCCTGGTGGTCGACTTCTATGTTACACCCCTCAAGTGGGAGGCTGCTCTCTCTCAGTCTCACCTGTACCCAGGGAGGATGATCTCTGGCCTGGGAATGGATCAGTTGTTGGGCAATGTTGTCCACTTCCATAACCAACTGAGACTGGCTCGGCATGTTTGAAGACTGGGGTGATGAGATTCAGCTGTTGATGGTTGAATGATGCTGAAGAGTTTGATATGAAGATAAACCAGAAGACATAACTTAATTGGAGCCAAGAACACAGTGGCCTCCATCACTATTAAATGGAAGAAGTTTGGAACCACCAAGACTCTTCCTAGAGCTGGCTGCCCGGCCAAACTGAGCATTCGGGGGAGAAGGGCCTTGGTCAGGGACATGACCAAGAACCCGATGGTCACTCTGACAGAGCTCTGGAGTTCCTCTGTGGAGATGGAAGAACCTTCTAGAAGGACAACCATCTCTGCAGCACTCCACCAATCAGGCCTTTATGGTAGAGTGGCCGGAAGGAAGCCACTCCTCAGTAAAAGGCACATAACAGCCCGCTTGGAGTTTGCCAAAAGGCACCTAAAGACTCTCAAACCATGAGAAACAAGATTCTCTGGTCTGATGAAACCAAGATTGAACTCTTTGGCCTGAATGCCAAGCGTCACATCTGGAGGAAACCTGGCACCATCCCTACGGTGATGCATGGTGGTGGCAGCATCATGCTGTGGGGATGTTTTTCAGTGGCAGGGACTGGGAGACTAGTCAGGATCGAGGCAAATATGAACAGAGCAAAGTACAGAGAGATCCTTGATGAAAACCTGCTCAGGACCTCAGACTGGGGTGAAGGTTCACCTTCCAACACGACAACGACCCTAAGCACACAGCCAAGACAACGCAGGAGTGGCTTCGGGACAAGTCTCAATGTCCTTGAGTGGCCCAGCCAGAGCCCGGACTTGAACCTGATCTAACATCTCTGGAGAGACCTGAAAATAGCTGTGCAGCAATGCTCCCCATCCAACTTGACAGAGCTTGAGAGGATCTGCAGAGAAGAATGGGAGAAATTCCCCAAATACAGGTGTGCCAAGCTTGTAGCGTCATACCCAAGAAGACTCAAGGCTGTAATTGCTGCCAAAGGTGCTTCAACAAAGTACTGAGTAAAGGATCTGAATACTTATGTAAATGTGATATATTTTTTAATTTTTTTAATAAATTAGCAATAATTTATAAAAACCTGTTTTTGCTTTGTCATTATGGGGTATTGTGTGTAGAGTGATGAGGGGGGAAAAAAACTATTTAATCCATTTTAGAATAAGGCTGTAACGTAACAAAATGTGGAAAAAGTCAAGGGGTCTGAATACTTTCTGAAGGCACTGTATGTAAATGTAGAACGTGTCAGTGTGTAGCCTACCTACAACTTGATTTGTGTTATACGTTTAACTAAGGATGACCTCACCAGTGAGATGCTGACCATTCACAGTGCAAGACATGCTTTGATGTCTGGGTAGATAATGTAAATATGCATGACCTCATGCGTCTCTGTACTGTACTCCCAGTCTGGGTTCAGTCTGTTGTTATTACAGTAGCTGATTGATCTGGTGATTGATTGATGGGTGAGAGAACAGGTATTTCTGGCATGTGGCTCTTATTCTCAGCTCAAGAAAGGAGACCAGACACACAAACACTGCACAGGTGACTGGAATGTTTGAGGAAGTGTTCCATAAAGTGTCCAATCGTGTGAAAGAGTATAATGTATGGATATTTAATGATAGGTCTGTGGTTATTGAAGCTCAGCATGATCTATTTTGAGCATTTTATTTCTATTTTATGGAAAATAAATTAGTTTCAGTGTGCCATTATCAAAGTTATTTGACTTGACTTGAGCTTATCTGTTGAGGCAAAAGTTGAGACAAAAAGCTGATGGACTTGAATAATTGATATTCATAACTATAAACCCAATCTTTGTTTGAAGAGGCCTTTCCCACAGGGCAAAAACTGGTTGACTCAATGTTGTTTCCACGTCATTTAAACGAAAAAATGCAATGTGATGACATTGAATCAATGTGGAAAACAGATTAAATTTGCAAACAGTCATCAACATAAGGGAATTGTGTATTTTTTTCACACAACTTTTAACCTAAATCCAATGACATCGTTAAATGTTTTGTTGAATTCACATTAGTTGACAACTCAACCAAATTTAAATCAAAACTATACGTTGAAATGACATCTGTGCTCAGTGGGTTGTGAGTTTGGACATACGTCTTTTGATTGGAAAGGCCACTGCAATTTACTGTATTTCAGTAAAAGCAGGCAGTTAAAAGGGTCAACACTACATTATAGGGCCAACACCACTAAGAATTTGAGGCTGGACCAAGTCTTTTCAAAACACATAAGACCTGTCTTCTTGCCT